TACAGAGAATGGCAGGGTTTGAACATTAACACTACAGAAGTATATATTTTTTCCTGCAGAGCAATTAATCATCTCGTTGGCTTATTCCTGTCACAAATAAATTAGAAAAATAAACACGATCATCAAACACATTAGTTCATTTGAGATTTCAGATCTGTCAGCCAGGGCACAAAGCAGATAAAATAAAAGCAAATTATTTTGATCTATCTTTCCTTTCTTTCTTTCTTTCTTTCTTTCTTTCTTTCTTTCTTTCTTTCTTTCTTTCTTTCTTTCTTTCTTTCTTTCCCTCCCTCCCTCCCTCCCTCCCTCCCTTCCTTCTTTCCTTCCTTGAGGCTTGGTACAACAGTAGGATCCATAACATGTAAATTTCTACTATTTGGAATTTTATCTTGATATATGAGTTCTTTTCTGCTAAAAAATATTTTAGATCTGTAGGAACTAAATTTTTTTTTTAACAGGATAGGACTAGTGTATCAAGATAAACTTCCAAATGGGATTTTCAATTCTATGAAGACTTTTTAAATACCAAATTATCATAAGTAAGTTACATCAAATAAAATGTTAATATCAAGTAAGGAAATAAAATAATTATTTCCTGCCTGGCTTAATCTTCAAAGGAGAGATAATCAATAGTCTAAAGTTCTATAGTCACATGACCACAGTTTGCTCAGGTTTTTTTGCTGGTTCCCAGCATTTGTATTTGTTTTCATTAAAAAAACAGTGATTAGAGAAAATGGATCTGCTTAACGACTAAACGATCCGCTTAATGGTAGCACGATTCTAACTCATGATTGCATGATATGCTTACGGGCTGCCATAAAAACGATAGAAAAATTTAGTCTGGTCACATGAGTGCCTGGATCTACAACGGCAAGGACTAACAACCAAAATTACCTTCCAAAAACACCCCAAAAAGTGTTCTGTTCTACAGGCAGGACCAACATCATGGAGAAAACTTATTTTGGGTCAGTCACTGCCTCTTCCACCATCCTGTCTACTACACAGTTTCTTAGATAGGCTTCAGCAATACTAGTAGCAGCTTAGCTGGCTGATTTTTAAAAATCCAGTCAGGGCTGATCTGTGGGCCAAATTGGGAAGTCTCAAAAACCATCATGCAGGCTTCTGCGCTGTTGCCAAAACAATCCACAGGACGTGACCACAGAGTCACCAGGGTCTAAGTTCCACTCAATGTTGAAATAAGCACGTGCAATAGAAAGGGAGAGGGAAGTATTGTCCTATAAATATTATTGATCGAGAGAAGGAAGCTTCTGCTCTAGACTTCCTCTGTAAAAGTTGTGTCCAGGGCACAACAGGAATGTTTGGGGGATAAAGATGCATTTTGCCAGGCAGAAGTGGGATCAGGGACTGCCCCAAAGAAGAGGGAGTCAAGCTATTCTCCAAAGCGCCCAAAGGCAGGACGAGAAGCAACGGGTGGAAACTAATCAAGGAGAGAAGCAATCTGGAACTAAGGAGAAACTTCCTGACAGTTAGAACAATTAACCAGTGGAACAACCTGCCTCCAGAAGTGGTGAATGCTCCAACACTGGAAGTTTTAAAGAAGAAACTGGACAGCCATTTGTCTGAAATGGTATAGGGTTTCTTGCCTGAGCAGGGGGTTGGACTAGATGACCTCCAAGATCCCTTCCAACTATTATTATTGTTATTATTATTATTATTATTATTAATAATAATTATTATAACTCATGAAACTGCTATGGGCACATAAACTGCAGACTGATGTCGGGAACCTTTATATCATGTGTGGACTTCAACTCCCAGAATTCGCCAGCTAGTATCGAACTGGGTCTTCAAACTTGGCCCTTTTATGACTTGTGGATATCAACCCCCAGAATTCCTTAGCCAGCCTCCATTTTGTTTGTTAAATTTAAGACAGGGGTCTTCAAACTTGGCCCTTTTTTGACTTGTGGATTTCAACTCCCAGAATTCCCCAGAAAGGGCTATTTAAGCCACCTATACCATATGTACATTTCAAAAATATAGAGATGGGTTTTTTTTAAAGGAAAGGTGAGAAGGGGAGAAAAAGATCTAGAAATGATCCACTTTTTATCGTATTTTTATGTACGCTGCAGATATATTACATACTATACATAATATAACTGGTGCTTATCAATATTAGGCAATATGGTCAGTTTCTTTTATATCCTTCCTGTTACTTTTTCTAAAGAGGCATGTATGCGATATACACGTTCTTATAGTTAACATTAAAATAAACTCTTTAAAAATGAAGGGACATACTTTAAAAAAAGAAGAGGGGAATTAAAGATGAAGGTGGAGTGGCTAACACCTTCTCATAGAAAACTCCCTAGTCTGTGTCATGCACCTGTCTGTGCTCATAGGGCACCGTAGCTAAATGAACCCAGGGTTAACGGAATTAATCGAGGGGTGCCTGAACCCCTAAACTGCCCCCACACAGGGCCTACTGAGCTACCAACCAAGATCCTTCTCCTTTTTGCAGCCCAGTCGTGCCAATCCAGCTTGGGCGTGCGTGAGGATGGGTCTGGAGCGATGCCAATGACAAAGGGTGCGTGTGTGAATGCCAGGGTGGGTGGGTGAATCAGGTCTGTGTGCAGGAGGCCGGCTCCGTGCAAAGGGGCAGATCCGGATCTAGGTGAACTCTGCCCTGATTCTCGGGGAGGGGACGAAAGGGACTCCCCAGAAGATCCCCCAAGGCTCCCATCCCAGAGACCAGGTCTTCTGGGGCTCCCCGCTTTATCCCCTCCCCAAGAATTGGTGCGTTTGGATCACGTAGATCCGCATCTGCTCCTTTGCACGGAGCCGGCCTCATGCACAGGGACACCCATTCACCCTGGCACCGGTGCCTGCATTCACACGAGCAGCATCCCCGCACGTATGTTTAGCAGCAGCAGCAGCAGCAGCAGCAGAGACGGCTCGGCATCCGCGAACCAGGGCCCGAGCCAGCTGCTTCTCGGGCTCCTCTCGCAGCCAGCCTAGCCCGGCCGGCCCCGGCCCCGCAGCGCCTCCTGGCCGCCGCCGCCGCCCCGCCGCCTTCCCCGACCGGGGAGCCTCCGAGCGCCGGGATCCACCTACCTGCCGGCGGCGGCTGGGGCGCAGCGGCGGCGCAGGGCTGGCGGAGCTCCGGGCGAGGCGGCCTCGGCTGCTTGGGCGCCGGAGGAAGGGAGGCGGGCGGGCGGGCGGCTGGGCGGGAGCGCGGCCGGAGCGAGAGGAGGAGCCAGCCGGGCTGGGCTCGGGATGGCCGGCTGGATGCAAAGGACGGGCCGATGCAACAGGCGGTCGCGCACACGCGTGGAGGGGCGCCGCGCCCGCCAGAGGCTTCTTGGGCGCATCCTCGGTGCTTTCTCGGCATCCGCCAGGAGGGCATCGGCCGCTGCCTTTGCGCCGGGGAAGGTGGAGCTTCCCGTACAGGTAGTCCTCGCTTTACAACAGTTCGTTTAGTGACCCTGCGTCATTGCGACGGCGCTCCAAAATGAGACTCAGGTCCCTTCTCCACACTTAACGACCCTTGCGGCCTCCCCCTGGTCGCCCGATCAAAATTCACACCCTTGGCGACTGACTCGGATTTATGACGGTTGCAGTGTCCCGGGTTCACGGGAACCCCTTTTGCGACATTCTGAACAAGCAAAGCCAAGGGGAAAGTCAGCTGCGCTGAACCGCGGTGTTACTAACTGATAAAAGCGGCCAGCAGAGATTCGCTTTAACACCTGTGGCAGGAAAAGTCGTAAAATGGGGCAGAATTCACGTGACAAATGTCTCACTTGGCAACAGAAATGTTGGGCTCCGTTGGGGTCGTAAGTCGAGGCCTATCTGCACAGCCGATTTGTGGCGGTCTCCTCTGCAGATGCTAGCCAGGTCCAACTGGGATCAGCTCTCTCAAGATCAATTAGATCAGTGTTTCTCAATCTTGACCATTTTAAGGCATGTGGACTTCAACTCCCAGAATTCCACAGCCAGCAATGCTGGCTGTGGAATTCTGGGAGTTGAAGTCCACATGCCTTAAAATGGTCAAGGTTGAGAAACACTGAATTAGGTATACTACCTTTTCACCCACTTCTGGTCAATCCTGTCCAGTTTTCGGAGATTGCCTAGCAACACAAGGCTTTCAGAAGGGGTTGGCCATTGCCTCCTTCCTGGGGCTGAGAGAAAGTGCCTGGTCCAAGGTCACCCTGCCGGCTTTGTGCCCAAAGCAGGTCTAGAATTCACAACCTCCTGGTTTTTAGCCCGATGCCTTCACCCCTGCACCAAACTGGCCCTTAGGTGCTACCTCTTAGCTGGACTTGCCAAAAAGACATATCCAAACCAATAGACAGCTGTCCAAAGGTCCACCCTAGACAGAAAGAGGAGTGAAACATCCTAATCTGGATTAAGAAGGATGTGCGAACACAGTCAGTGGTGGGATTCAAATATGTGAACAACTGGTTCTCTGTGTGGATGCCGCTTCCGGAAGTCCATTAAAAAATTAGCTACCTGTTCTGCCGAACTGGTGCGAACCAGCTGAATCCCACCACTGAACCCAGTTTCCCGGAACCATTATTAACTAGTACTAAATAGGTGCTTCAGTTTAGGATTAGAATGAACCTACCTAGTTGTGATTTATGGAACCACCTGTGATTCAGCCAGGGGTTGGCATGGACGTCCCATGTTGAACTAAACTGCCAGAGTTCATAATTTCTCTTAAGTAGGTAGAACCGTTGTAAGGTTTCTACGTGCAACTTGGCTCCAGATGCAGAACTAACAACGGATGGTGGATCCGGTTTCCTTTGTACTTTTAATCTTCCGTGACCAATTCATTTTTCTTCATAGAATGCCTTTCAGGTTGCAAGAGCTGGAAAAGGTTTCCGTATAAAACAAAGCAAAATCATCTATTTTTGTTCTCAGAGATTAACAAGATTGAAGGCTGTGTATTTTTTTTTTAAATCAACAGAAAATCGAATTTCGCCACTTTGCTCTGTTTGCTTTTAAAGTGGTCCATCTAAGAGTAAATCAAGAGCACGTTACCGAGGTATTCAACAAAGGAGTTTATTTACCAAAATACAATTAGTCAATACATGACAAAACTTCTGTAAAAGTAAAATAAATTATTCTAACGTTGTTCGGTATCTCGTAAGGTAGTCAAAGTAGCTCTACAAAGCCTGCGCCCATCATTTCTAAACAAGACAATTCTAAAGAGAGCTTAAGGCATGCAGTTTAATGTGCGGATCTTACAAAATAAGCCATCCTATCAGTAAGATATAGCAAGAGAGAGAGAGAGAGAGAAAAAACCCCCCCAAGATCTGCGGTTTTCTACATGTCAGTTTTCGATACGTTTTATACTTTGGCTATAAAAAACAGTGCCATCGTATTACAATTCTTTTTCTTAAAAAAATATAAATGTATCCATGCTCATGAATATCAAATGCAAAAGTCTATTAAATATATTTTAACATTACTTTGAGCACCGACTGTACATTTTATTCATTTATTTAGTGATTAAATAAGAGCTTTAAAATTCAGAAACTGGCAGTAACTTCACTGTCTCTCAAGGGAAGGATACGATGTGAAGCTGTAAAATAGCCTCTATTGTCCAAGCTGTTAATGCCATACTTAATTGTGGAAGCAGGCCCCTATTAAATATAATATTCTGTTTCCAGGTAAGCTGTTTAATGCAATCATATGGAATGAGCTCAGACTTAAGGTTTTAGTCTACTCAGACAGGAAAGCAAAGAGTGAATTGCACTGGTGCTTCCCATATCCTAGATGTCTGGTTTACTTCCGCATCCACTAAGGTTCAAGCCACGTTTGCATAATATCTGCATGTATAAAGACTAGAAAAAAATGCAAATTCGGGCTTGCTTTCTACAGGGGTTTTATGTGCGCCTTACCTAAATACTACGTGTCGTGCACAAATATCCAGTGAGTGCAAATGTGATTTCAACCACTCTCATATTCTTCTACTCTGTTGTTGGCAGGGTTTTACATCTGGGTGGTTCAGCTGATTAGCTCCAACAAGAATTGAAGCATGCTGATTTTTTTTTTAGCATAGTATGTATTCAATACAATACATTGAATACAGCTGGAGGCTACCAAGGAATAAGGTGGTTTTCTAACTCTGCTCCCTAACAAGGGTATATAAATAACTGCAGCTTGGAATATAAACGGGAACTGTATCCGCAAGAACTGGAAACTAAAGCTGACTTTTTAATTCAGAGCCCTGAATTCAGCTCCTACATAAATTAAAACATACAGTATAATTAGCGAGTCTAAGCATCATCTTACCAATATCTAAAAAATGAAGACATGCTATATATCTGAAAAGTGCTTTTTGATTAAAAAAAAAAAGGAAATGACTGACATCCAAATAGGGTACACCTCAACATTTTTCCCCCTTAAGCCAAGTAACATGATCAATAAACTCCTTTCAGACTCAAGATTGATGAATGTCAGTTTAAAATTGGTTGGCTTTTTGTGCAAATAAAGGTAATGTCACTCTTTTAGTACGGACTAGTCACTTAATTTTTTTTTTTTAATTTTTTGGGACTTAACAGTGTGAGTTAAAGATTACATGCAGAAAATATACTTATTTATTCCTTGTGCTTTCTTAAAAAAAATTACATGCCTAAAAATTAATAGCTAACTTCAATAGGAACTTCACTGCTGTTATATACTGTAAGCTTATATTTTGACAATTTTCTTGTAGTGTACTAAAGAGGCATGATCTATTATGAAGAATGAAAATTTACAAAGAACAGCCACCCTGGCTTGAAAAGGAAAATTAAAAATGAAATTTTAACCTAGGTAATTTATAACGGAGCCTAATCAGGTTACAATAAACAGATCGTTTATTCTAACAAAAGGGGATGAAATAATGATCTTTTTAGTATGAGTGCAGATACTTAAAGAAGTACCCAAAAATTTCCTCTTTGCAAGCACATCAGAAATGCATGAGGAGGATGAAATGTCAATAGAAAAATGAATATCAAGACATTATCTTAAAACCCATTCTAACCAGTCTCATTTCCATTTTCTTGACTGGGAAAATCAAATACTGTACAGCAACCTGAAATGGACACATTCCCTCAGTTTCCCCTTAGATGAGTGTCCAGCCTTGACAACTTGAAGACTTGTGGACTTCAACTCCCAGAATCCCCCCGCCAGCCAGTCTTAAAGTCTTAGATGTTCTGTTCCTTAAAAAAAAGTTTCTCCACCTCAGGAACTTTTAAGATGCATGGATTTCTTCTCCCAGAATCCCCCAAATTCTGGAAGTTGAAATCTATGCATCTTAAAAGTTATTGTGGTTGAGAAACGCTGCCTTAAAGGATAACTTGACATTCTACATCCTATCTAACCGTAATTCTAACCTGACATATTTCTGTAAATCAAGAATGGGTAACTTGGCAGAAGATTATATCTCATTTAAAAGTAAAAAGTTGGGCAAGGGAAAGAGCTGCCATTTTTATTTCTGATTTTTCTTTTTCTTTTGGCAAGAATGGGTACCAGGAAACTGTGGGCAGTAGGCTTTTCTCAAATTTGTACTATACAAGGGCCTCCGAACTTGGCAATTTTAAGACTTCTGGAGTTCAACTCCCAGAATTCCTCAGCCAACCACGCTGGCTGGGAAATTCTGGGAGTTGAAGTCCGTAAGTCTTAAAAGTCGGCAAATTTGGGGACCGCCCCCCAGACTATTACAATACTCTCTTTTCATATAATGCTGCATATAATTTAGAAGGAAACAATACACAGGATTAAACAATGCAAAAAGGAGGAATTCTACATTGGGTAATATGAAATGCTTTCAAGAACCGTTCTGCATTCAGCCTTTAAAGTTTGAAAATGATTTACACGAAGTTGAAGGAGGGGAAGGAGACGCCCAACTCAAGTAGCACCGTAAAAAACTGTGAGGTTTTAACTTAACTTTGCTAAAATACAAATATAAATAGATTAATAAATAGACAAGGAACATACCTTGCATGTCTGGCAAAATAATTCAAAACTGCGTATGAAGCCACTATAAGTAATGAGCTACTCGAAAGAAAATACAATGGGGGGGGGGGGTGACATGAGCTGAGAGAGAACTGCTAAAAGGAAGCATCAACTGCATTTCGTACAGAGAACACTGGCTGCGTAGAATTGAGAAGAGGCTGTGTAATTAGCATGGAAACCCACTGGCGGTTACAACCAAAGAAAGAAATCCAGGCATAAAGCAGGGATCTCCAAACTTGGCAACTTTCAAGACTCGTGGACTTCAACTCCCAGAATTCCCCAGCCAGAATGGCTGGCTGAGGAATTCTGGGAGTGGGGATCCCTAAGTCTTAAAGTTAGCAAGTATGGAGAGCCCTGGGCTAAGAGATGAAAGTTGTTAACACCTGCCAAATCCTAATAGGGTAATGTCACAAGGTGTTAGACAGTACGCACAAAACCAAGGGATGTCTTTTATCTTCCTGAGATTTTTTTTTTTTCCAGAGATCAGCAAGGAGGGGCAAGCGGCGAAAAGAAATTAGCCTTTGCTCTCGTTTTGATGGAACAAATTAAAAGCTGCCTGAGACTGGAAGGGACCGGTTTGTTTTCGGGGGCTAAATTTACCAGGGTTTTCATTGGAGTCGCAATGGATTTTTGTATAGAGATTTTGAAATGTTATTTGATGAGAGGAAGAGGCGGAGAGGGAGAAAGAGACAGACAGACAGACATAGGGGAGAGATCCCTTTCATTGCACTGCTTCAGAGTTAGATTAACAGTTTACCTTGTCTCTTGTGACCCTTCTAAAATTATGCATGCTGAAATGAAATACTAATCAATATCTGCTTATCCTATGTACAGGTAGAACTGAAAAACTTTGCTAAAGAGGGCCCGAGGACATACTTACTTTTCTATCGCATCAAAGGAAAGAATTAAGCAGCCAAATATTTTACCCAGAGGCAGAACTTATTTTATGTTGCTTGATGCAGCTAGAATTTTGCCCAGAAAACAATCGGTTGCGACGGGAAGCCTAAGAACGAACAAAGGCTTCCATCCTCAGAAATGGCTGCTTGCTGGTCGTAGCAAGGTGGTTTTCTTTAAAACTCACCTGAAGCAGATTTTATGCTGTCTAGATGCATTTCTAGGCAGAAAGATTAAATCCCTTTTTGTTAATTCCTCACGGTCAATTCTCTCTGTCACTATCATTTGGGTTAATAATAGGCGTTAAAAAATAGTTCTGTGGGCAGAAGACAACTTCTGGATTTTTACGGTAAACGCAGCATTATTCACGTTACGGTTTCTTCGAAAGCTTGTAAAATGACAGAGGGCTTCAGATGGAGGAAGGAACGAGGGACTTGCACTTTGAGCAAATAAATATGTACACATACATACAGGCTTGTTCCTAAGTTCTTTGATTTAGCAAGTCTTTCAGGCCAAGTTGGAGGTCCGGAGTGAAAGGAACTTTGTCTAGCTCAGTGTTTTCCCACTTTGACAAATTTGAAGATGCGCGGACGTCAACTCCCAGAAATCCTTAGCCAGCAGGGCTTTCTGGAGAACTCTGGGAGTTGAAGTCCACGCATCCTTCAAGTTAACAAAATGGAGAAACCTTGATTTAATTTATACCTTGAGCTGCTGCCTGGTCCTTATTGAGAATGATGTTGATGATTTCCCCTTCGTGTTCTTTCATATGGTCCAACAAATTCTCTTTGCTGGTGGACTCAAATCCACAGATACAGCAGCAGAAGAGCAGAACACAGTATTCTGAGCCAAGGTGGGACTGGCCTGGAGCCTTCTCTGAACTGCTTGAGGTATTGGTGGTAGAAGCTGGATCCTGATGGTTGTCTGAACCCATTATTTTATTCTCCATCGGCTTAGGAGAAGTTGAAAAAGACAAGCCTTCGGAGCTACTGGCATCATCGTCCAAAGTTTTGGTTACTTTCTTCCCAGGCAGCTGACCCAGTAGCCTACAAGATAAAGATAAAGAGAAGTTTGGCATAAGAAGAGTTTTCTTTGCGCCGTTATATAAATTTAATAAATAAATAAATAAAATCAAAAGTAAAATAAGTGGCCAGCTAGCAAAGGCATCCGTTTTCATTCTCCATCCATCCCCTATTTTGGATGGTTATTCTGGAACCTGAACTAAGATGCCTTGTAATTCTATCCAGACAACATAAACTCAACGAAAATGGTTTTAAAACAAATATTTATTCCAAGAATTCTTAGCAGAAACTTACTATTCTGAAGATGCGTCCAGTTGTATATATTTGTCCATTTTGAGTAGGTAAAAGGCAGTATTTTCTCCATATCAGCTTAGCGTGGTTACGGACGATCTCCATGCGTGCAGCATGGTGGGTTAGACAAAGGCTTTCTTTACAAGCTGGCTGGTAGCCAGGATATCCTGTGATGAACTTTGTGGCACCTCCCACTGACTAGGTAAGTATAGGATTCACTGAACAGCTAAAACTACATTACCCATAAGCCATCTCTTAAGGAAACAGCGTTTAACCCTTTAAATGCTAAACGTTCTAACATACAGTTCTTAAGCTAACAGGCTGGTCCAGCACAATGATGTTTCTTTTCTAAACCCAGAGGATTAAAATCTTTTCAGTGGTGGTGTTCAATGGAGTCTGGTGTCACAAACCTAAACAGGGACTGCTGAACGCACGCACCTGCTGCTTTGTGAAATTGCATCGTTAATCGCTTTATTCACTTGTTCATAATTATAATTTTCATCACTTGCATGCTTCCACATGTGAGACTTTAGGGAAGGCGGGTGGCTGCACACATATCCGCAGAGAGAACATCTGAAACAACAAGAGGATGCAAAAGTTATTGCAAGTGAAAAACATACGACAGCAAAGCAGACCTGTAACTCCATTTTCAGTTAAACTTGGCTTATCTGGAATTGCAGTTTAAGTAACATTTTAAAGAATCTCTACAGGGCACCTTCCCTAACAGTAAGTCTGTCTCTGGGCAAATATACACTCCTATCTAAGATTAGCTAGTTAAATGGATTTTTAAGGATGCAGAAATTGTACAAGAAGCAACGGATGGAAACTAATCAAGGAGAAAAGCAATCTAGAACTAAGGAGAAACTTCCTGACAGTTAGAACAACCAGAAGTGGTGAATGCTCCAACACTGGAAGTGAGACTGGACAGCCATTTGTCTGAAATGGTATAGGGTTTCCTGCCTGAGCAGGGGGGTCGACTAGATGACCTCCAAGGTCCCTTCCAACTTTATTATTATTATTATTATTGTTGTTGTTGTTACTATTATTTATTATTATTACTGCTATTACTGCTACTAATACTATTTTTTTAGTGCCGTTTCAGTCAGAAAACTGTTGTATTGTTGTAAACCAAGGACTATCTGTACTACATACCAGATAACTTATCAATTGAAAAAAAACCTGATTCCTAATCCTTCAAAAGATTATTCGGCGAAACAAATGAACAGTTCAATAGCAGAAACTGCATGGCACTCCAGTTAAAAGGGACTGAGACATTCTCTCAAGGAGGGACTTTGGAATGCAATGGTTGATTAAAAAAGGATGAGTGGTCTTCCAAATATAGCTACACTGCAAATCTCAGCAGCTCCACTCAAGCCATCCCAAACAAAATGCTTCTTAGGTAGCTGATGGCAACGCAGAATAAAGACTAAAAAGGCGGACAGACCAAGCAATAAGAACAGATCTAAAGAAACCTTGAAAACTGTAACTCCGTTATTTAGCCAGGGAACAAGATTGCTGTCGGTGCTACTGTCTTGCTGAGCTATTTGTTACCTACTTGAACTGCTCCATTAACTGCACTGCCTGATGCTCCTGTGGATGGCGTCTCATATGACACTTCAAGCTATTCATACTCGTTGTGGCGAAGTCACAGACGCGGCATCTGAACAAAAAACAAAGGAAGGGTTGACTCCGGAAGTCTTGGTGTCCCCTTGGTATTTTAATGCCCCAGAATTAAAATAAAAATGTTTCGGAACATTCGCAATGCTTCTAGGTTTGATCACTTGCAATCCAATAGTCAAACATGGACCTCCTTGACTTCCAAACTCATTTTTTGCTGGGATACAAGGAAAATTCTGGTTGGGGAGTTCTGGAAGTGACCATCGGCAAAAGGCTGGTCAAGTTTATCAAAAGATGGCTGCCATTAAAATAGCAAAGTCACAAGTCAAAAGACCTTTCCAGATGTTGGTAACCTACTCAAACAAGGAAGCAGAGAGACAGATGACTACCGGACACTGAAAACCCCACAGCCTTTGCAAAAATATCGCTAAATTGTTTAAGATGACAGAATGGGGAAAATATTAAATATATGTTATATTAAATATGGACTGTAGCCCTGTAACTGAATTTAACAGTTTATTTAAAAAAACAGTTATAAATTTATTTATATTTCAACCCTTGCATTACTTTGGAATGCAATCTCCAAAATGTTCCTCAAAGTGACTTTGGGCTGGCAACCGTCACTCTCTAAAACCCTGGGCTTAATCCACTCGCTTTGATAATTTAGTGGGTAAAAATTTAAGTTTGAATTCTGCCAATGAAAAGAGATTATATTTATGGCAAGCAGAAGCGTAGGAAACAGGCTGGAGGATTCCAAGTACATTTCAAGAGCAAACCCCTGATCGTTTATGCCCTCCTTCAAAATCAGAATATTTCAAATGGCCCACTGGCTGCTGCAAAGGAGCCGTGAAAACAAACACAAACAAAACAAAATCGGCTTAAATTCCATGGATAATCAAAATGCAGATATATTCACCTGTAGGGCTTATCCGAGTTGTGAATCCGTCTGTGATTCCTCACTCCAACATACGTTGTACTTGTGTAGTCGCAAATGTCGCAACGGTAAAGTTTCTGAATTGAGATCTTGTCCCCTATAATAAGAACACCAGAAAACATTTGTTCCCCTTCAATCTGGTTTCTACTAGGGCTAATTAGATATCCTTGAGAACCCTCTAAGCCAGTGTTTCTCAACCTTGACCATTTTAAGGCATGTGGACTTCAACTCCCAGAATTCCACAGCCAGCAATGCTGGCTGTGGAATTCTGGGAGTTGAAGTCCACATGTCTTAAAATGGTCAAGGTTGAGAAACACTGCTCTAAATTGTAAATAAAACACAGGGAAGGCATCATAACTTTCCTACTATGGAAGACAAGCTGAACCATGCTGACGACCAGCCACTTATCTATTTATTAAATTTATATGCTGCCTATCTTGCTATCGAGAGAAACTCTGGCTGGCCTTGGAAACCTTATCCTCCGGTATTTGCCTCTTCGCCCTTTCCAATCACGAAGATTGGCAGCGTTCACACCACAACTTTTAAGGGATGCTGCATTTCAATTGTTTCGAATCACCGTTCCTTCTCCAGTGTTTTTTTTTAAAAAAAGAGGGCTAATTTGGGCTCCTGTCCTTAGATGTTTCTAGATCACAATACCATTTCTGAATTGCTGTGATCAAAACTGGACACATTTTGTACTACCGTTTGTGGTCACAGTCACCCTTTGTGTAACCGGAGGGTAGGATATATCAATGTAATATACACACACGGACCCATTTGCACTATTCAGGGGACCCCCAAGGGCACAGATAAACCTCCAAGTGGCCTCAACGACTCTCAGAAAGAGTGCTAACGATCAGATGACTGCAAGGAGTATAAATCATTCCAGAAGAAGAAGAAGAAGAAGAAGGAGGAGGAGGAGGAGGAGGAGGAGGAGGAGGAGGAGGAGGAGGAGGAGGAGGAGGAGGAGGAGGAGGAGGAGAGGAGGGAGGAAGGAGGAGGAGGAGAAGGAGAAGGAGAAGAGAAGAGGAGAAGAGAAGAAGAAGAAGGAAGAAGAGAAGAAGAAGAAGAAGAAGAAGAAGAAGAAGAAGAAGAAGAAGAAGAAGAAGAAGAGAAGAAGAAGAAGAAGAAGAAGAAGAAGAAGAAGAAGAAGAAGAAGAAGAAGAAGAAGAAGAAGAAGAAGAAGAAGAAGAAGAAGAAGAAGAAGAAGAAGAAGAAGAAGAAGAAGAAGAAGAAGCCTGGCAAAGGATGTATCATTGACTGGAGGTAGGAGATGACCAGGCTGAGCCCTCAGGGGGCAGGATCAAACATGTCATCAGTTTGAAGTCGCTGTGCTCCCATAACAGACCTAAGTCCAGCCTCCCTTGAATTCTCTTGACTCCTATGGAGGGCAAATTTGCCTTGACCTTGAGTGGATCAGATTCTTGTGTATAGGTAAGAGGTAATAAACTTGAAGTGCTTTGAACTAAACTCCTACTCCTGGTTACTTCTGCTTGATGCTGGTGTCTGTAGTCACTACTCCCCCCCCCCCACCAGCATTGTGCACTACAAAACTCTCCGATTAAATTTGTTAATTTGACAAAGCGCTACACACCCATTCCCTTTTACTAAATGATTTAGTTGAGCTAGTGGGTTTAGGGCCTGCTTTCATGCATACACGTCTCAGAAGGGGAAGAAAGTATGACAATCTCGGTTTAGCTGCGGTTTTTTTTTCCGTAGCAACCCAACATTTTCCCCTCTGATCCTGGGCGCTGGGGATCCCTTTAATGTTACAAGTACAGCCATGGTGAACAGGAACACTGATGATTTTTCTAAGCAGGGAAGGTATGTTCCTGCTCAAGCAACTGACAGGCAAGCAGATGCTGCGCCATAAACTTTGGGGGTTTTATAGAGGTGGCATCTGTTTGACAAGAGGGCTTCCTTCCTGCAATTGTACCTTAATTTGATTGCAAAGGGCTTTCAAAATGCTTCGGAAAGCTAGCATTCTCATTTAATGAATACAATTAAACAGGAAATGGTATCAAGTGAAGGCAGGCTTCTAACATGAGGTTTTCAGATAAAAAGATACTTTAAGATACGAGGCAGGGCAGGAAACGCCCCCTCCTTTTTTTTTTTGAGCAACCAGCAATCAAGAAACAAGGCAGACAAACCCTGATCTCTGCACCCAGATGAAGGAATTAGCGAAGAGAATCTCTACCCAGGGTTGCATCTTCAAATAAATCATCATTATTAAATGACAAGAGGCCTTAAACAGGGATAGCTGAGAAACGTTGCCCTCTCTCTCAATTCTCCAAAGAGAATTCAGATTCTATTTGCAACTGGGGGAGCAAAGGATGAGTTTACAATGGCCTACTTGCAACCTGGCACCCTTTAGAGCAGGGGGGTCTCCAAGCTTGGCAACTTTAGGACTTGTGGACTTCAACGCCCAGAATTCCCCAGCCAGCCTGAGAGTTGAATGGGAATTCATTGTGGGAGTTGAACTCCACAAGTCTTAAAGCTGCCAAGTTGGGAGAGCCCTGTGCTTCAGACCAATGCTTCTCAATCTCAGCAACTTTTAAGACTTGTGGAATTCTGGGAGTTGAAGTCCACAGCTCTTAAAGTCAACTGAGATTGAGAAATGTTGCTCTAGATCAGGGGCCTTCAAACTTGGCCCTTTTATGACTTGTGGACTTCAACTCCCAGAATTCCTCAGCCAGGCACGCTGGCTGAGGAATTCTGGGAGTTGAAGGCCACAAGTCATAAAAGGGCCAAGTTTGAAGACCCTTGCTCTGGATCTACCAGGTTATAATGCCTGAAACTGCCAGCCAGCAGAGCCAAGTAGTTGAGTAGGGCGCCAGGAGAGAGAGGGAAGGTGCACCCTGGCCATTCTCACAATCACCCAGCTGAGAGCCATGGCGTGCAAGGGGAACCCAATCCAATCCACAAAACTAGCCAACGAGATAGACAGTACCAACTCTTTCATCTGCTTCACTGCAGGCCACTAAGGCCCCGTCAAACGTCGGGGTTGCACACGTATCGGGGAGACTGTGCTGCTCTCTTTCGTGACTGCGCAGCTGACTCTGGAATACAAAACAATTGCATAAGTGTTACCGTCACGTTAAAACAATGTTGTTAAGTTTGTCCAGTTGGGCATTCTTTAATTCCATGAGCATTAATGACAGTGAGTGAGCTGATCATGTCAATGCATGACTCAAAGCCACAACTGAACAGCAGTTCGATAACTAAACCCAAATTGGTTGGGTTCTTCCATCTTGCTAGGGTTGTCAGTCATGGTTTAAAAGTCAAAACAGCTCAGTTCACACAGCATGAGGTGCCAGTGTGTAAACCTAGGTCAACACCTAGTCAGGAGAGAATGTGGGCGCAATTATTGCATATCGTGAGATGGATTGTAGGAAATCCTATGAGATAATTGGAGATCATCTTCAATCTAAGCTAGTGTTTTTCAAACCTGGCAACTGTTATAATGTATAGACGTCATATCCCAGAATTTTCCAACCAACATCCCAGACCTCAACTTAGCATGCCGAGTTCCCCCAGCCAATTCCCTGAATCCTGGGAGTTGAAGTCCACACAACTTTTAAGTTGCCAAATCTGGAAATCACTGATCTAAATGAACTATATTTGCTTGACTCAGTGCATTTGGGAACTTAGGCAATTGTGGTATAGTCAATAAAACGTAAGAACACCAATTTTATGACTGCACTCATACAGAAATCTAATGAAGACATCAATTCTTTGACAACCTGAATAAAGTCTGTTTGCAGTACTGCCTGCTCCCTGCTCCATTACTCTGCCAAGCTACACCAAGTGTAAACCTTACAGTGAATGGTTGCAGGCCCTGGGTATGTCTAGCCTAATGAAGAGAAGAACTAGGGATGATCTGATAGGAGTCTTCCAGTGCTTGAGGGGCTCTTATAGAGAAGAAGGGATCAACCTATTCTCAAAGCACCTGAAGGCAGAGCAAGAAGCAATAGGTAGAAGCCCATCAGAGGGAGATCCCACCTGGAACGAAGGAGGAATTTCCTGACATTTGTTCCCCTTCAACCCTGGTTTCTACTAGGGCCGGGGGTAGGCAACCTTGGCTCTTTTTTGACTCGTGGACTTCAATTCCCAGAATTCCTGAGCCAGCATGGCTCAGCTTGGAAACTTCTCCCTTTCCCCTCAGCATGGCTGGCTCAGGAATTCTGGGAGTTGAAGTCCACTAGTCATAAAAGAGCCAAGGTTGCTTACCCCTGAACTAGATCTCCAAGATCCCTTCCAACCCTGTTATGGGTAGTCCTCGGCTTATGACCGCAACTGAGCCCAAAATTTATCTTGCCAAGTGAGAAATTTGTTAAGTGAGTTTTGCCCCATTTTACAACTTTTCTTGGCCACATTGTTAAGTGAACCACTGCAACTGTTCAGCCAATAACATGGTGGCTAAGTGAATCTAGCTTCCCCTCATTGTCAGGTCACAAAAGTTGATTACGTGACCCCGGAATGCTGCAACCATCATAAGTGTGAGTCAGTTGTTAAGCATCTGAATTTTTCTCATGTGACTGTGGGGATGCTGCAACAGCCGTGTCATAGGTCCCTTTTTTCCCTGCGGTTGTAACTTTCAAACAGTCACTAAATGGACTCCTGTAAGTCAAGGACTACCCGTATTCTAAGCTTCTGTGTTTTGTATACAAGCAGAACCACAATCAGAAACCAAAGCTGTGGCTGCACAAAATGGGCAGAGGACTCCAGTGTGCCACCCCCCCCCTTTCGCCTAATTCTAAGCACTCAAGCTGGCCATTTGGGCCCAGCATTTGACTAACCCAAGGCGCAGCTGTTCACCTTGTAATGAAAAGAATCCTCGCACTGTTTACACTGGTACATTCGGGTTTTGCAGTGGTTGATCATGTGACTTTCTAGATCCTTGCTGTGGTCGGCGACGTGCTCGCAAATCGGACACTGATAAGGCTGCCGCTGCCGGTGGACCCTCAAGTGCTGCTTGATGTAGCCCTTGTTGCCGCTGCTGTAGTGGCATAAGCGACACCGGAAAGGCCGATCCGCGTCGGGGATATATTCCACCAGACTACTTCCCAACACGCTGGCATCCCCTGAAGGTTGGCACTGAACGTTATCCTGCAGCTCCTTCAAAATGTCCTCGTCGGAGGCATTTTGGTCCGTCCTCTCTTTCAGTTTCTCAATCACTGTCAGCAGTGACATGCTGATGCCCATTTTGATGGGGCCTTCGGAGATCTCCGGTTTGTCCTTCTGCAGTTCCACGAAAGCTTGCTCCTCTTGGTTCAGGCTACTCAATTCCTCCGTCTTCAGGGAGGCAAGCCGTTTCGAATGGCCTAAGTAGCTACCCTCAGGAAGCCTCGGCCCAGCCTCCGAACTTAAAGGATTTACATCGGCGAAAGCCCGGAAGCTGGATCGGGCAAGCTCCGCGGCTCTGATTGGCATGGTAACCAGGGCTTCGGCAGCTAGCGAGTGCAGCCTCAGAGACTCCGAATTGGTTCTCCTCCGGGCGGCTGGCGCATTTTCATTGGCCGTTTTAGCTCGGCTGGGATTCAGGTTGTCTTCTGCCTTTTCCGCGCTGCTCCACCCAATGATAACTTCTTCAATTTCAATCGAATTCTTATCCATGTGATAAATGTCGCCCGACACATCCCGTCCAGCCGGAGGGTGTTCAGGGGCGGCATCCACGGAATAATGCAAGACGTTATCCATGGCTTCGTTCTGCAAAACGGGCTCTCTGGCGCTGGGCAGGCGTTCCACAATGACGTTAACGTGGCCCTTTTTGTTTGGGCTGCAGTTAATGATTTTCTGGGCTGAAGAAAGCAAGCTGTCGGCCCCCGAATGGTCTTGGTCCAGATCTTCATGCGACCTTGGCTCCTCTAGGAATTTGTCTGCAGGTGAAAGCGCAGCTGCCTGACTTAGGGCTGATTCTTCCTTGACAGGTTCTTCAGTTTTGAAGGCCACCGGCTCGGGGCTACAAATGCGAAGTTGAACAGGCTGGTTGTTGCTTAGTCCCTGCTCGTTGTTTTCTAGGGAAAGGACGACGGTGTCCAACGTGGCAGAATCCGGCAAGGTGGCTTGTTCTTTTTCCTCCTCAAATATGGGATACGAGCAATTCACTTCTCCCGCGTGCTTCCAAGCGTGCGTTTTCAACATTCTTTGCTGTCCGCAAGTGTAGCTACAAATCAGGCATCGGTACATGCCATACTGCTCGTAAGTGTACCATTTCCGCCTCCCCTTCTCGGGCACTTGGGGTGGTGACGTCCCTTGATCTGTGCCGATTGTGATTTTTTCTACTGGCTCAGGCAAAACGGTACTCGACAGGCCGGTGGTGCAATGCGGTTCCTTCAACGTGGTGTGGATTTTGCTGTTGTTCTCTGGGTGACTTCGAACGTGACTTTCAAAATCTTCTACGCTCCGGGTGGTGAAACTGCACATGGAACACATAAGCACGACCTCGTTCTGCTGACCGTGTTGCTTGATGTGCTCCTTTAAGAGAGCAAGGGTGGGCGACACGGATTTGCAGAGACTACATTGGTAGCAAAGGACCTTCTTTTTACTCAGCGGAGGACTGTCCATCGTGTAATAGTCTTCTATATTGATTGTGCCCAAAGCAGGCAATTCCAGGGCTTTGGATGGGAGTTCTGGGAGGTTGGTGGTGTCAGGGTACAAGCGTTTTTTCCCAATTAAAACACATTTCTGCGACTTTTCACTTTCGACAATTTTGCTCAGCTTCTGAATGACCTGGATGAGAGGATCAGGTTTACACTTCAGCGGATCATCGGCGTTCTCTGCGGATGAGTTTACGATGGCTTCGGAAATCAGGACGGCTTCCTGTTCCCTCAGATTTGAGATTAGGGCAATGATGTTACTGCCTTCTTCCATAATACCTAAAATGGCAATAAACAAACAAACAATAAATTCATGCAGGGGTCTACAGATTGGAACTTCCAGCTTGTGAAGTACAGAGAAGAAAAAGATTTATATTTGGGGACTGTAAATATGTATTTTTTCATTTTACTGGCTATGATGATGCATGAGATGGCCTCTTTCATCATCAGCAAGCTGAAGTATGTGCGATTAGCTACAAGAACAGGATGCTTCTTTAATTAAAAAATGATCTTTCTCATGTGATGCTGGGAGAAGGCTCCTGCGTATTCTTTGGACAGCAGAGAGGACTAACTAACAAGTACTGGAGCGCATAACACCAGACCTATCACTAGAAGGCAAAATCACAAAGCTGCATCTCACTTACTTTGGCCATGTCATTCACTGGAGAAAGCAATTGCATTTGGAAGAGTTAGCAGTCAAAGGAAACCAGGCCACAGAAAACCACACAGAACTCAAAGAAATAGTGCAAGATTGGAAGATGTGGAGAGACCTGGCCGAAAGAATCGCTAAGAGTCGGACATGACTGAATGGACATCATCATCACCATCATCTTCACATGATGAGCTTACCAGGTTCTTGCCAGTCTAACAGATGGTTTAAAAGGGAAAGGGTTCAGAGACAATTTTTTTGTCTTGCCAGCCGCCACTCTCTTCTTAGCTGCTCTTTTGCTCTATTATTACAGGTGATTATTGCTGATATTCCCACGTGCCAGTGCACAGCATCGTTCATCAGAACAGCTGTCAGTTGAGCCTTTGCATCTTCCTTGTGGATTCTCTCCTCATGCTAACTGACAGAATTCATGGCCGTAATCTGGGACAAAAATATAGTTGATTAAGTATCTCTTTAGAAGAGAGGAAAGAAATCCATCTTTTCTACAGCATCATGCAACATTATTTTATTTTAGAAACAAAATGTAATCTACTAAAGACCGAGGAGTGCATAAAGCTTATTATTATATTCGTTTTCAAATCAGTCTTGATTCTTGGCAACGGCCTGGATGAGACCCTGCTGTTTTACTGGCCACATGTTCAGAGGTGGCTTTGACAATCAGTATCTTCTTCCAATGGCTGAGGGTGACTGGTCCAAGATTATCCAGCTGGCTTTGAGCCTAAAGCAGAACTAGAAAGGTATCCTGGTTTGGGTGTTTTGGTTCACAAAGTCTTCTATAATTTAGGGCAAATTACCTATAGGGCCTTCAGCTATGACAGAAAGTTTTGCACATCAAATTGATCATCTTGAATTAGCTCAGAAAGCAATCAGTAAGCAGCAGTCTGTTTAAACTCTAACAATATCATTATCCATGCCACCATTCACGGCCAGCTGCAATTTATAGATTGTCTGCAGCTTAAAGAGGTAGCATAACATAATCATTGATATATTGGACCAGGAGCAGGGAAATCTAGATTCGAGTCACTTTCAGCCAATCACTAGGAGACTCGGGGAAGTCACTTTCTCTCAGCCCAACCTACCCCCCAGAAAAAATAGGTAGAGGGAATGCTGTGTCTATTGCCTTGAACTACTAAATGCAAGGCAGAATATAAATCAAATAAATAATATTTTGATCCATCTAGGGTAAGATTCTAATAATACTTCACTCAAAGAATCTAAATGGGATTGGAATGTGGTAGTAATGACTTCTTATGTCAAAAAATAATAAAATAAAAATTTGGACAACAGAGTGGAGAATCCTGGGTTTCCAGTTCCTCCATTAGAATTTTATAGCCCGAGATATCCTAAATCTAACTAGGTATTTTCATACTAGCCTTTTATATGTAACAATTCAATTGAGGCTAATAATGGGCTAATAAATTACTAATTTACTAATAAAGTAATGTTTTGCTTTCAAGGCAAAAGAGGACAAGGAAGGGCAAATATAGGATGTATGCAAAATGCATGAGAAGCTGAAGCCAACTAAAATCCTTTTATGGAACTATAAAAAATGTCTCTGAAGTTAGGTTCAAACACAGACTTGTAAAGCAGTAGCTTTTAATTCTTTTTTTTTTAATATGGAATACCAATTTAATTCAAAATCTTCTATTAGCGTGGCAGTTATCACTTGCTCACACAACATCTTTACCCATCAATTGCAAACTAATTGGGAGGATTTTTGTGGAAAAAAACCCTATAAAACAAGAAAAAGTCTTGGAGACCAGGTGCATTTGCCCACCAAAAGGTTGGGGGGTGGGTGGGAAAAAACGCCTAACAGAATCTTCACAACTGACCATTAAGGAAGGAGTTTGACAGGCTCGACCAGTCTCCCTCTCTTTCCCCCCCCCCCGCACCTCCAGATGGATTTAGACTACAAATCCAAACATTCCCAGCCAGGCGCTTCTATTGGTTGGGAATTCTAGGAAGCGGTAATCTCCGCTATCTGGAGACGTGTCATATCGAGTAAACAGGTCGAAAACCCTTCATTCAAAAGGTTTGAATGGAAAAGTACTATTCTACACGTCCACTTATGGCGGGCGGAGAGAAAGGTGAATAAAGAAGGGAAAAACGCACGTCGGGATGGGACCGTTCAGAGCCCCCCCCCTCACCCACGACCCGTCGGTTCCCACGACGCCCTTGCCCGCAGGAGTGAATATGCCCCTTTTCTGGGTCTCTGCCCTGCCTGCAGCGAGCCCAACCTCGGGGGTTCACCCCGAGGGAGAGGAAGCCGCGGGGAAACACGCCAAGCGCCCTCGGGTGTGTGTGTGTGTGTGTGTGATGGTGGTGGAGAGGATCACCTTCTGCCGGGCGAAACGGGCTCCAGGGAGACCCCAAAGCGCCGATCCTTCCCGCAAAACGGCAGCCCTTCCTCTGGTGGGTCCCTCCGGTTGAGCCGCGGAGAGAGGCGAGCGGTTTTCGAGCTTCCCCCCCCCCACCCGCAACGCCTTGCTCGCTCTCTCTCTCTCCCCCCAGCTGCCTCTTCTTCCCGGCTGCCCCCCACCCGGCCCCGCTGGCCGTCCCTCCACGCCCCGTCCTCGCCGCCGCCCCCTGCCCTGCCCTGCCCTTCCCTCTCCTACCCCGGCTCTCCTTCCTCCTTCTTCTCTGCGGTAGCCCCCCGCTTCAAAATGGCGACGATGGAAAGGCGGTCACGTGACCCCGGCGGGGCCGGGTCAGGTGACCGGGGAGTGAAAGTTCCGTCTGACTTTCTTCTCTTTTCTTCCCCCGCCCTCCCCGCCCCACCTGTTACCATAGAGATCGGAAGGCGCCAGGCCGGCCGGCCGAGCGGAAAGCGCGTGCGCGCGCGTGCGCTCTCTCTCGCTCTCGCTCTCGCTCTCTCGCTCTCTCTAAGGGAGTTGGCGCGACCTTCTTAACCCGCTCCGGGAGCGAGCTTAGCCGCTTCTGTGGTACCGTAAGCCGAGGGCGGTAGCCCGAAGCATAAGACGGACCCGGTTTAAAAGCTATCCGAGCCTGGCGCCCGGGGGGAGGGCGGAGGGGGAGAGTCAGGTTTTCCCGCAAGCGACCCGCGGTCAGCTGGGTCGTGTGAACTGCCTCTCCCCGCGTCCATTTGCGGCACCTCAAGAGGGGCGGCGCGTGTATCTGGCCGCCGCTGCTTCTTTGCGCTTGTTTGTACGGTGCGGATCACTGAGCCGCTTTGTACTGCGTTGTAAGTTTTGTCATTGTTTCCATTTTATTTCCATTCTGCCCCGAGGAGATGGGCGGCCCATATCAGTGGAATAAATCAGTACGTAAAATAAACAAATATGTCCCCTTTTAAGCTACCGTTTCCTGTCCCTGGAGAGGTGATCCTCAGTTTAGCAGCCTGCAGACATATGGGGCTGCAATTACTGTTTTGTTTTATATATTTGTTATATTTTTACACTTTGCCTCTGTGCATGTGTATAAAAGTTATATATATTATATATGCATATGTGTATATATATATGTATACACACATATCACACACACACATTACACACCTGTTTGAGCAGGGGGTTGGACTAGAAGACCTCCAAAGTCCCTTCCTATCATTCTATGTACTACATTTATATATCATATGAAACTATATATGAAGCTAATACATCTAATACTGTGGAGGTCTTGGGGTTCTCTGACTTCGGTTGCTGGCTTGCAGATGTTTCATTTCCCCACCTCGATAACATCATTAGTGCAACCAGTGTGCTGTTTTCGAGGCTGGGGCTACGTGGTCCTGCTTGAACAAGAAGACAGGGTACTGATGATGTTACCTTATTGCAGGGGGTCTTCAAACGTGGCCCTTTTTATGACTTGTGGACTTCAACTCCCAGAATTCTCAGCAGGCACATCCCAGACACCTGAGGTTTTTGGTTTACAGTATAGGCCAGGGGTCTTCAAACTTGGCCCTTTTATGACTTGTGGACTTCAACTCCCAAACGCTGGCTGAGGAATTCTGGGAGTTGAAGTCCACAAGTCCTAAAAGGGCCACGTTTGAAGACCCCCTGCCTTACTGGGTAATGAAACGTCTGACTGGGCAATGAAACAACCAAGAGAGCAACAAGCACTCCACCGTTCAGCCCTGAATGATAGATACTCTCTCTTCTCTTGGAAAGACTGATTTTACTCCGGCCTCCCGTGATCCCTACAACAACAGCCTTGTCAGGTGGGTTGGGTTGAAAGAGAGGGACGGGCCAAGGTGGTCTTCAAGTCTAAGGCAGGCCTAGAACTCTCAGTTTCCTAGTTTATCCTCACATTTCACTCTGAGTCCAATCAGTGCAAAGGAAGAAGACTGCATTAACAGAGGGACGGAATCAAGATCACATGAAGTGTTAATACCACTTTACAAGGCCTTGGTAAGGCCACACTTGGAATACTGCATCCAGTTTTGGTCACCACGATGTAAAAAAGATGTTGAGACTCTAGAAAGTACAGAGAAGAGCAACAAAGATGATCAGGGGACTGGAGGATGAAACATACAAGGATCGGTTGCTGGAATTGGGTATGTCTAGTTTAAGGAAGAGAAGGACGAGGGGGGACAGGATAGCAGTGTTCCCATATCTCAGGGGCTGCCCAAAGAAGAGGGAGTCAAGCTATTCTCCAAAGCGCCTGAAGGCAGGACAAGAAGCAACGGATGGAAACTAATCAAGGAGAGAAGCAACCTAGAACTAAGGAGAAACTTCCTGACAGTTAGAACAATTAACCAGTGGAACAACCTGCCTCCAGAAGCGGTGAATGCTCCAACACTGGAAGTGTTTAAGAAGGGACTGGTCAGCCATTTGTCCGAAATGGTATAGGGTTTCCTGCCTGAGCAGGGGGTTGGACTAGATGACCTCTAAGGTCCCTTCCAATGTTATTATTATCATCATTATCATCATCTGTATGAATGTCTTTTTTTCTTCATTTTATCTAATAAAGATTTCTTACCTTGTAATTATTTTACAAACTCTTCAAGTTAGCTACCAGAGGGAAGGTCTTTTGGATTCTCCCCCCCCCCCTCAGTAATCAACATAGCTACAATTTTCACTTTTTGTACTGAGCTGCAATTGCTGATGGAAACGATTCTGAGCTATAGATTCATTTATGTAACAACAATAACCTTAGGTTCAAAACAGCAATATCAACCTAACTGCTCGCAAAATAAGCTTTGAAGGCATGAAAAAGAGTAGATGATGTAATTGTTTTTTAAAATGCTGTTACTTACGTTTTAATTTTTTTTTTTTACAAAAAGAATGGCCTCTCAGGAACATGATCGTAAATCTTTCCGTAAGCTCTCAAATGCATTTAAGACCTCTGGAATTGTTGACCCCACAGTGGTCCAGTCTTCTACTTATTCTTTGTAGCTCAGGTTCAAAATATTTTTCAATGATTAAAAAGAATGGGTTGTCTTTGTGTTATTAATGAGATAAGTAGTGGTGAATTCCTCAAGAAGCATAAAGGATGCAGAATATTTTATGTAGCATTTGGGTTGTAAATTTTCCCAGTCTACACATTTTGTGTAGTGGGAATGTGAGTGCATTGGAACCCCTCCAGCCTTTTAATTACAGGTTCTTTATTTTAAATGGAACATCTAATTGGCATCCCAACAAACATAAATTTGTTTCGTGGCATATTACATAGCTTGCTGCAGTGCAGTGGCCCTAATTGAGCTGGTGCTAGGATGTTTGAAACACTTCCAGGGCTTAGTTAGTATTTAGAGGATCAGGCCCATCAGATAAAGGCTGAATGCCATGCACCCAACACAACTGGGGTAATGCAGGTGGTCCTTGACTTATGACCACAACTGAACCTAAAATTTCCATTGCTAAGCAAGATAGCTGTTAAGTGAATCTTGCCCCACTTTACAACCTTTCTTGCCATTGCCGCTGTTAAGTTAGTAACATGGTTGTTAAATGAATCTGACTTCCCCATTGACTTTGCTTCACATGACTCCGGGAAACTGCAACCGTCATAAATACACGCCAGTTGCCAGCATTTGAATTTTGATCATGTGACCACAGGGATGCATGCTGCAATGGTTTTAAGTTTGAAAAAGGGTTATAAGTTACTTTCTTTCACTGCCATGGTAACTTTGAACAGTCACTAAATGAAAGGTTGTAAGTCAAGGATTACCTGTTCCTTCTTTTCTTGCAGAGATTGGACTCAGAGTGAGGATAACTCAGCTTTAATTCTAGGATTTTTGAGGTTCACTGGCATTGCTCCAAACATGTCCCTTTTTCCAGTTCTTCTCTACCATCCATTTTAATTGAACAGAAACGATCCTTTAGGAAAACGATATAGAATTAACAAGAACCTTATGGATGTAGGAGGCTTTGCATTAATTTTAGTTACCAAGTGGCCAAAATTTCCATGCACCTGTGTTGCCTTTTTTAATTACATAACAATCTGAGGTTCTGCCACTTTAGTGGCATCTCGCTTTTCTTTTAGAAGGAAATTCTTGAAGACATTGTAACTCATTCTATGGATTGTTTTCAGATCAGGAGTCCTGAGCAGCTGGAGGGGAGGTGGGTGCATCTCTCCGATGCGTACTAGAAAAATAAAAACAAGAACAGCATTTTAAACTCTCCTGCAGCAAAAAAAAAAAAACAATTCAGAAATGCTATTTAAAAAAGTACAGGTGCATCTGTATGTATATATGAACGCATGCATAAAGGAAGATTTGTTTTTTGTTTCAAATATTTTACTGGAGAAAAAAAAAACTTCCTAACACTGTGCCGAGTATTCCTCATACACTATTAGCACAATGTTCCTGCAGTGAAATAGTTTTGCAAATAGGTGCAGAAATACTGTCACCATCTCTTCTTTATTTATCCCTAATTGCTTTCATTAGCTGTTTGTGACTTATTAGCAGCCTCTGAGAAAAGAAACCTTGGACTTTACTAGCAGTCTAGGTTTAATTTCCTAGAATTTATTGCAACTCACTACACGTCTCCAACTGATTTTAAAAAAGATCTTACCTCATTTTTCTGGTTAATTTAAATATATTTTCCTTTTTGCTATCTTAACTCCTAGAATCCATTCTCCAGCAGTCAGGACGGTGCTTTTTATAAAATAAGCCCATCTTTTTGAGCAGACATGCAGAATCGCTTTGACATTTTTTAAGGCAAGATATTTTCACAAGGCCTCTCCACGTGCACTTGATCGTGTCACTAAAATGAGCTGGGTAGAAGCAAGTGAAAATAAAGTGTGACACTTTTCTTGGGAGACCTTGAGGTGGCAGCAACACTACATTTAACTCCTGTCACACATTTGGAGTGAGAGGTTTTGTGTGTTGTCTGTTTTAAAAAGAACTAAATCAAAACAACCCTATTTGTTATCATCTTACAGCTCACGTTTTAAGTCAATAAAAACTTGTCTCAAATGTCATTTGCATTGTACGTAATTTTTACCAGTTTATCCGATATGTTTTAAAAGCACATTTAAGTGGGCTAAATGTAGAAATAAGCCATAAACGATGGCAAAGCTGGGAACTTGTCAAATGTTATAGTAAAATGGAAAGTCCCTTTTGGAAAAGCGTGGTTCTGAAAGACCTTTCAAAAGGATTTGATAGCACATCGAACAAAATCCCTTTTGTTTTGACTAGCTGTGCTTAAACAGCAGATTGAATATTTTCCTGTTTCTTGCCAGACCCTTTTTATTCACAGATTTGTGCAGGAAGGTCATCTAATTATATGACTTTACATTAGGAAAGGGGAGTATGTTTGTTTCTCTTAATAATATGGGGTA